CCAACTGGATTGAACTCCATTCACCACAACTCTCTGGGCCCGGCCATCCAGCCAGTTTTTTACACAGCGAAGAGTACGCCCATCCAAGCCATGAGCAGCCAGTTTCTCCACGAGAATGCTATGGGAAACGGTGTGAAAGGCTTTACTAAAGTCTAGGTGGTAGACAACATCCACAGCCTTTCCCTCATCCGCTAAGTGGGTCACCTGGTCATAGAAGGAGATCAGGTTAGTCAAGCAGGACCTGCCTTTCCTAAACCCATGCTGACTGGGCCTGATCACCTGGTTGTCCTGTACGTGCCGCGTGATGGCACTCAAGATGATCTGCTCCATAACCTTCCCTGGCACCGAGGTCAGACTGACAGGCCTGTAGTTCCCCGGATCCTCCTTCTGGCCCTTCTTGTAGATGGGTGTCACATTTGCTAACCTCCAGTCAACTGGGACCTCCCGGTTAGCCAGGGCTGCTGATAAATGATTGAAAGTGGCTTGGTGAGCACTTCAGCCAGCTCCCTCAGTACCCTTGAGTGGATCCCACGCCACTGCCCAGACTCGTGAAGGGCAGTGTTTCATACCTTGGCTGTTATTTATCCTACAAAACAATTAATGGAAAAACTTGGTTCTGCTTTTCAAACCATTTCCTTTCTAATTAGAGTGTTTAGGTAGCCAGAAGTTCTCTATTCTTGGTCTAGTCGTAGGAGCAATAGTTCAATTTATGCATATATAAAGAACCTGGTTTTGCTTCCTAATTGAGAACTTGGAGACTTATTCCGTCTGTATATAATATGTGTCAGGTTTCTTTCAGTCTGGATTGGTTTATGCAGTGCTTGGCTGGCACTGGAGAATATTTGGGTCAGTGCTACCAGTCACCAATAAGCCATAAGCATAGTTATCATACATAGTCCAAGTGAAGATAAATATATTATTCAGGATGAGGTGATTACAAGCCTGTTCGCTGTAAATGAATGGTTTAAAGTGTTTTAACAAAACAAAAAAAGTCATAAATTACAAATCAGCCAGATAAAAGTGGTTTTGAGGAAGGTTTATTCAGATTCAGAGACGAGAAAAAAGGAAGAGCGCCAGTGTGCATTGCTCATAAAAGTAAGATTGACTTTTCTGACCCTGTTCCTATTTCAGACAAAATAAGATTTTCTGTAATGGGACTGTACAGCTTAGCTGTACGTGTGAGTTAAAGGTCTGCATCTTTCCATTAGGCATTTTGTGGTTGAGCACCCTGAGATGGATGTTGGGGGTAATGTTGTTCATGCATGTTTAAGAAATACACAGAGATTTTGATTTAAGATTAAAAAGATACTGGGAAACACTGTCTAGAGCTTCAGAATTCTATAAATAGTACATGAACTTGGTAGGGGTTTCTGTTCCTGAAATTGTCTGGAGTTCATAATATCTTTATGATACATATGACAAAAGCATTTAGTTGTCCCATTCTACACAGCTGATTTTCAGAAGCAAATGTATTTAAAAAAAAAAAAAAGGCTTTTAGAAGTGGAAGTTGTAATGTCCTTGGACAGGTGTATATAACACGTAGCCTGGAGTAGTTGTTGGTAAGTGCACGCTTCCCTTTCCCTGCCATTGCTGTTTCACTAGCAGGTGTGAAAAGATGTTAAACAAATCATGTAACTAATAGTTGTCCTACTTCCAACACTGCAGTAGAAGACATGGTGTGCAACTGAGTGGATGGGGAGATAACTACACAACAGTATTCTATAACATGATCCTGTTGATGGAATTTTAAGACCTGCAGTAATAGATTTCACCTCTGAAATAACGAGGCAAATCATAATCAGCAGCTGAATCATGCTCGGAAGAAGCTATTTTGCCCTATATATATTAAAATGGTTTAATATTTTTGTGAATTTTGTTTGATAATCTGACATGTATTCTTCAGGCGTATGATTTAACAGCTGAATGTATGTTACTGGGATACTTGTTCTTAAGAAATTCTTGCTGAGCATTCTAAAGTTTCTGGAAGCAGACAACACTGAGTGAGAGGGAAGTGATGATGATGGTCTTGATCCTGGACTCCAAAGTATGGTTTCTTATAACTGCAGAACTGGCTGATTGAGTAATTGCCTTCTGCTATGGATAATGCTGTTATATGCCCAGTTTAGGGATTTTGTTTTCAAAAGGGTGTTAACTAGATAATGATCATACTCTCCTCTGTTTCTACAGTTGGTAAGACTTCTGAGGCTGTTTGGCTCATTACTAAATAAGAATTGCAGGTTGCTGAATGAGTAGAATAAAAAGAGGCATCTCTGGTTTATAGGATTAAAGAGCTTTTAATATATGAGTGAACCTGAACAGTCTGCTTCTAAATAAACTATCTTCCTAGTTCTTATTTCATGGGTAGTAAGTTACAGTTGCTGTTAACAACAGCCTGAGAAGCTGTGGTGAGTGCCTGTGTGTAGGGGAAGTTGTCTGAATTTAAAGAGCAGTATCCAGTCTTTCTGAACTTGTGGTAGATGAATTTGCTGGTTGAGGTATGGTGGCTGTGACCTGCCCCTTACACTAAGTAAACTTGAGAACTCTCATGCTTTCAGACTTCTGACACACATGGCTCTGATATTTAATTAGGAACATTGCTTGTAAGTTCAACAGATAACCTGTGATTTCTGGAAGTATGAAAGGCAGCTTAAATAAGTTTGAATTTTAAGTTTGAAACTTTGTAGAAAAAAGTTTGAGGCAGAGCATGGGAGTTGCTTTCTACATTACTTGATTGGTGGCGTAACTTAAGATTTCTATAGTATCCATGTATTGCAAATTCTAGAAGTATGAACAGAATTCCCCCAAAGTAGTATAGAGTGTCTCCGTTTAAACTTAATTTAAAGTAAATTATATCACTGAGTTGCAGCAGTTGCAGACATTTACTTGTGAATGGAATTTACTTTTAAACTTTGTAATATATTATTATTTTTAACAGGAGGATGAGTCCTTTAACTTGCATAACAGCAACAGCCCTCATCATGAGAGAGATATAAACCGAAACTTTGAAAATGAAATTCCGCAGGAGAATGGAAATGCTTCAATTACATCTCAACAGATCATTCGATCTTCAGCTTTCCCTCAGGCAGATATTCTTTCAAGCTCACTTGAGGCAGAGCATAGGTATGTACTTTATATAATATAAAGTGTTCCTTTGTGGTAAGTGAGCATGTCATAAATTCTTACTAGTTCAGAAGTCAGAATCTGAAAACTGAGAACACATAAAATGTTTAATGAATACTGTCAAAGTTTAACTTTTAGACATGTACTAATTTAACTTGGAATATACTTTGTTTCTACTACACTTGTGTACTGTCTTAAACTTGCTTTACTAAAAATTTGATGTATTTCCTTCTAAAGAGATAAAGCAAACTGCATAGTGACTCCATCCTCTGATTTTCATCTGCATGTCTAGGAGTTACAATGCATGTAATTGCTATTTGTGTTAATAATACTTTAAATGCTGCATCTTATGTAAAACTCTAGTGAGTTTTCCCTCATTGTTAAAGTAATTAATTATTTCTGTAGCTGACTAGTTGACACTGTCAGTGATATCACAAGACAATGCACTGGAAAGGGAGAAAGTAACTTCAAAAAAGGATTGAAACAATTCTAGTGTCTCATAAAAGTAACTGCAGTAGCAACTGGTAGAGAGGAAAATGATGCTGCTGGGAAATGACAACTCAGTCTGGAGATGAGCTTGTCATGAGCTCTGTCAGATTCTTACTGTTTCTGGCAACTACAGAATTGCAGTGCTAGATTAAATAGAAATTTTTTTTTTCTTTTAGTGATAGGTTATATGTATACATTGGACTAGAGAACTTTCCCTTTTGTAGTACCTGCAGAGGAAACTTCCATGACCTCTTATCCCTCATGAGTATGAAAAGTGAAATGCACCCTGCTCTGTTCCTTTTTTTCCGCCATTGGCTATGGAGACAGAAATCTTTGGCCACTAGAGGCTGCTGCTGCTGATTGTTTTGACTAGAAGATAAGAGTCAAATCTAACTCTCATGTTTCAATTCAGATGACTTTGAATGGCCTTCATAGGGTTTCTGGGCAAGTGTCTGTCCTTTGTGGTATCCCAGACAGGCTGTGTCTCCGTACTGTCCCAGCCCTTTGGCTGTGACCTCTGCAGGCACGTAGACAGATGTTATGGTGAGGCTTTTTGTGGTAAATTGGACTCGAAGTGACCAGCTTAACTCACGGGATACTTGTGCATACCTAGTAACAGTATTGGCACATCTTGTACAAAATATATCTTGGGCTTCCCTTCTGCTGGGGAAGTTTCCAACGTGCAGCCATCCTGTTGGTATCAAGTTTGCTAATCTGAAGTTTAATTTTTTTACGTAGTTCACACTTTTAACCATTCTAGAAGCCTAGTGTCGCTTTAAAGGGACAGCGGCCCTGCTAACTTTAGACAATGTTGCTTAAAAGTTAATTAGGCGTTGCCCTAAATTTTATTTACATTAACAGGAGCTCTGTAACTATTCACTTTATTGTATGTAATACTCTTAACATCTTAGCTTGCTTGCAGTAAATTGCTTTCTAATGCAAATTACTGTTGCCAAAAATATAACTATCATTGAATTGCATTTGGCATTGTGAGTCTTTTTCTGTATGTCTATACAAATGCACTTATTCTCTTAAAAGAGAGTTTTGGATGACTTGCATATTATTTCTGCTGCTTCCTGAAGATTTAAGTGTTCCTGGCTGTCACATTGTCCAATTTGGTCCAAATACTACAGAGGATGTAATTTCCATTTCTGTTATTGTCCTGTTAACTTTTTTTAAAATAGAGTAGTGCTGTTCTCCCCTTCTCCTTCTCCAATTCCAGGCTTTTATTATGGTTTTAACAACAGTCATTTGTGTCATTGGTCACCGGCAATTTGCCCAGTGCACATCCATTGTATTGGGACCTAGAGTTCTTTGCGGGGGTGGGGGCGGGGCGAGGTGTGTGTGTGTTATATTGGTGGACATTTTTTGCTGACATCTGGTTAAATCAAGTACTGGGCACATGACATCAACTGTGAGTTCGTCTTACTTCCCTGTTTTGATATATTCACCATTCTTCAGCTCTAAGTGTCAGTTTCTTGTGTCAGTTCTGGCATATCCTTTAGAAACCTCTTTATTTTTTGTGAAGTAGCTTTAACCTCCTTTAACATTTAAGGTCAACAGGTGCATGGTTTGCCTGAAGAAGGTGCTAATCCTTTTGGCAAAAACTTTGCAGCAAGAGAACTCTCATTTTCATTGTTAAATGTCACGATGTCTTCACCCTTAGATAATCCCTGTTTTCACAACGTCTTCACGTATAAAACCACTTTCTTCCTGCTCAGATACTGCTGTCCCACTTTTGGCACTAGCTAAAACAACGCTGATTATTGTATCTTTGGATATCTCAAGCTTAGTCATGAGAGGAATCAGTCTCTTGTTTCTTTTCTTCCCCTCATCCCAAAACTCACTCCTAGTTTTGTAGTCTGCCTGTGCTGAAATACCAGCATCTGCCGTTGGGTAAGACTCAATTGCAAAGAAACCCATCCTGGCCCTGACATTAGCATGTGCTAGAAAAAAGAAACTATATGAGGCCATGGCATCATGAATTGGTTCCCATGGAGGGACACCACCAGTATTCCTCACAGCTGCTCTGTTACCCAGGAAAATCTGCAGATTCCCTCAGTGTGAGTCTTTATATCTTCGTACGATTCTCAAGGGGGTACACTGCTGCTCCACCAGAGCAGTTATGCAAAGGAAATACATTCTTACTTTTCCACCTGACACAGATTTCTTGCCTTAAAATGAAGGTACAGTTTTTACCACATGTAGTGGTAAAACAGGGTCATCTGTGAAGGACCTGAGAACTTCTCAACTGCTATGCTTTATGTATCTTTTGTAAGGCTTTTAACCTATGTTTATGTAAGAGTTTGTTTGAAAAAAATTATGGACTGATTAATCCATTTGTTACAGATCTTTACACATACATGTAGGCAGAGAAATGTCTTGAGTGTGTGTAGCAAATTCCTTAATGTTGTCCTTTTTAACTTAAAGGTTGTTAAAGGAGATGGGCTGGCAGGAAGACAGTGAAAATGATGAAACATGTGCTCCACTAACAGAGGATGAGATGAGGGAGTTCCGAGTCATTAGTGAACAGGTAACACTAAGTTAATGTTCCATTATGAACTTGTAGTTGGCTACCCTAAATGCCTGCCTTTTGAGGAGGAACTGCAGTAATTTTGATGGTTAGGGATGTTGCTGTTTCAGTACCATTTCAGTATTGTACTTTTGGAAGAGTAATTGCTTTAAAAAGATAGGGGACCAGTGTTTATTGTAGGTAAGGCCTATTCTCAAAAAAATCAAGGGAAGGCTAAGGGAGTACTTCTGAGTAGTTTCAGCATTGCTGGTAGTAGAATTGCACAGGCTTTCCAGCTCCTCAGCTTAGCCTGAGGAAAGGGAATTTTCTTTCAAGGTTTTTATGCGGTTTCCTTGGTTCTCCAAAATTTGAATTTTCTCTGTTGGAAATTGAGAGACATTTAGTTCGCTATTAACAAAGTCTGAAAAGGCAATCCAGATTTGATTTTTTTAATTTTTTTTTTTTTAGATTAGGAGTGTTATATATACCTGATGGGGTCAGTGAGGAGGAGCTGGAAGGGAGAATCTTGTGCAATGTTAAATCTGAACATTTGATATTTGTGTAAGTCTAGCCACACGCATATTAATAAGAGCATTTGGAATATCAGACTCTTAAATGCTTGGCTTATTGCCCAACTTCTGCACTATGTGTGGAAATGCAGTAATTCCTTTCTTGTTTTAGAATCAGTTGTTTCCTTTCTCTCCAGTGTCATTGACTTTCCAGCTGCGTCAGGTAGATTTGGATTCTAGTTCCTCCCTGCTGCTTCTCCTCTTCTGGGCCTCTTCCTTACTGCAGACCCTGCCCTTCTTAGCACAGATGTTTTCAGCACTGTGGAAAAAGGGACTGCATTGCAGGAGAGACCATGTGGGAGGAGGGATCACTGGGGCAAGACGTCTGAGGAAGTGGGTGAGAAGAGGGTAAGCTCTTGTTGACTGCAGGAGCTTAGCACAGTTGGAGGTGCTTGGATGCAGGTGGCTGGCCCAGAAGTGAAGGCTCTCAGAGGAGTTTTCCTTTGTGTATTTATATGGAAATGTAGTGCTGTGGATCTAATGTAGCCCAGAGATGAAGATGTAGAGAATGTTGAAAAGCAACAGATTGTTGTGTTTAGCTTTTTCTTTTTCTAAATACATTCTTGTTTTCTCATTTCAGTTACAAAAAAATGGCCTTCGGAAAAACGGCATTTTGAAAAACGGCCTCATCTGTGATTTTAAATTTAGCCCCTGGAAAAACAGCACTTTCAAACCTGCTCTGGAGAATGAGGATTCTGAGACGAGCAGCAGTGATACATCAGATGATGATGATGTGTGAAGACTTCTGCAACATCTGTAGAAGCCCATTTTGATCTCATGAAAATTTGGGGATGTGTTGTCCAAAAAAAATTCCTAATTTATGTAGTAACATACCCACTAGAGGAAGAATGATGGGACTTCTCTCTGAAGAAAGCAAGGAATGTTGCGTTGGGTGTGTTGAACATTACTATAATTTCTTTGTAAACGAATGTTGTAGAATGAAGACTTGGGTTGACCCACCATTGACTTTCTTCATCACTGAAGCATTTCTGACTAGCAATGTGGCAATGTAACAAATCAGACTTTCTCATTTAATAATAAAAACAAAGAATTGTGTAATGTCTTGCAAAGCTTCTGTCTTAAAATGTCCAAGTCTATAAGGAAAAAAAGGGCAGCTTGACAGTGTTTTGCTTGTCAAGTCATTTCTTTCAAAGTGAGTCCACTTTGTACGCAAGAAGGGCAACGTAGCATGTTGGCTAAAATGAGCAAAGTGCACTAAAACTCTTTTTCTTAATTGAGCTGTTGTACTGTTCTACTTCTTCCACACATAACTGCTCTTTAGCCATTTGTAGTGTAGTCGTCATTATTAGCGGCAAAAGACCCTGATGTTACAGTTCCAAATTTCTGGAACAAACCTTTAAATTGAAAGCTTTATGGGGTATTGCAAGACCCAGTATTCTCACAGTGAACACGTTTCTTGTGGGAAAATAAGCACTTTGATTTTACTATTCACATGCAGAAAAATAACACTGACTGGATTTGTCCATTACATGGAAAATAAACTGATTTACAGAGTGTTGTCTCAGTGCATAGCATCAAGGGTATTGTTTTTAAATCTGGTAGGTTTTGTTTGCATTTATATTAAATGTATTCTGGCAGCAGTGACTGCATTTCAGAATGAGGTAAAAATATTTTCATCACCAGATCTTGCTTTTATAGCAGCAGAAGTATATCTATGCAACAAGCACCTGTTTTGCTTACTTTGTGTCAAACTTTTTCTTTATGATCACACATTTAAAAACCAATATTGTATTATTTATAGTTTTATTTCATTCATTTTTGTTCTTTAAATATTTTCCACAGGGTTGTACAAACTATGTAGCATTAATTCATAAGCACAATTGCTGTCGGTGATGTCACATAGATTTATAACATAGCTTATATATATATATAGACATTCCCCCTTCAAGATATTTTTGAATTGTACTATTTCTTATAGTAAATAATTTGCAATTTAGAACTCTAAAGCAAAAATATTTATAAAGCTGAGATTTTGTCCATATTTAACTTCTTTCGGAAAAGACATTTTTCATAAGATGGCATCTATCAACTTTGGGCCAAAGGTGGTATGTTTGTGGGGTTTTTTTTGTTTTTTTTTTTTTTTTTATTAGTTTAAATAGAGATTTCTATTCAAGAGGTCAGTTTTTGTCTTGGAATAGGCATGCAAATGTTGATGTAGTTAATTTTGGCACAATGTATTGAAACATGCCATTTTCTCATCTGGATTTAAGAGGATAAAAATGTCTCTTTTTTTAAAGAAAAAGCTGCCATATCAGTAATTAAGTCTTTCCTACCTGTATGCCCTACACACCTTTCTCCTTCCCCTCTCCTACAGCTTTTTTTACTGACTTTGACACCTTGGTGTAGTCTATTCCCTTTTTGGTTTTCACATCCTATCAACAGGATCTTCTGCCTATCCTAATTACCTAGTGGTATGTGAATATGATATATTTATTACTAAGTGAAAGCTTTTTTGCCTTGGTATTTGTCAAAGTAGGCCTTCGACTTTTTTCCCTCTTTATTCAGTTTAGTAACAAGTATCACCTCTGTAATTAACCATTTGGGAAGATACTATAATTATAGAAGAATTGGGTTATACGAAGTGTATAGACTTGGGAATTTTACAGGTTGTAACTGAGAAAATGCTCTTTAGAGAAAGTAGAAATAATAGTTATACTTGGTACTTCGTTTTGCTAGTTTATATCCTCAAACTGGTAATGGAAGCACTGCTTATAATGAGCTGTGAGTAACAGGAACTGAGCAGTGGTTTTGCTTTGTAGAATGAAACACCTTTACAGCCTTTTTAACTTCTTTTCTATGAGTGTGTGGCTTCTTCTCTTGTATCTGCTGTGTTGTCTGTCCTGGCCCTGTACACATAATGACTCTGCGCTCCTACTACACTGTGTTGCGTCTCTGAAGTCAGGCATGTTTGATACTGTGATTTGATATTGTGCAGACGCATAGCCTTAACCAACTGATACTTGTGGATTGAGTTCTAGTCCTATACAGTGGTCTGCTAGTTCAGAGACGTGTCAGAGGTCTGCATAGCCCCTAGCTTAAATGGTTATCTGCCTGCTCCGTTACTTGGGTTTGCCCTTCACTGCAGTATGGAAGTGGAGAAGCTTTGATGTTTCCACTGAGGAATTGGCTTGCCTTATGTTATATTTACTTCTGGCAAAGCTGAGTAGTGTGTTGGTCCTCTTTTTTGCCACCTTAAGAAACACTTTCTTTAGTCAGCCACTGAGCAACTCTGTTTTCAGTTGAGTTTTTGATTTTTATTTTCCTGGGACACTGGAAACAAAGTTTGGTTTTCATATTTTACTTCCATAAAATGTGCTTAAGCATTCTTTTGTGCTGTCCCCCTCCTTTTGTTCAGTGCTTGAGGACGTAAAGCAGAATGAAATCTGATTCTCTAGTAAGTAACAATGCAACTTTTTCCATCTTTGACTTTGTTCCTTTCCCAGGTCAATTTTAGTAGTTCATTGGCCTTTCTCTTCTGTCATATGTAAATGACGATCCATTCCCAGGATACATCCTCTTTTGTTTTTCTGCTTGAGCAGGTTAAACGCCAGCAAGGAAGTCTGCCTTAAAGGCTTAAGAAGTTGGTGGACTAAGCTTGCCCATTCCCTTAGTAGGTTCTAGCAAGCTTTGGATGTTAGAGAATGTCTGCTGGGGATAGTTTGTCAGTGCTGGGCTGAAAGAGCTTGACTTCAATGACAGTAATCGCCGATTGCTGCATGCAGACATGGCACTGCTGTATGATTTGCAGTCACTGCCATTTCTCCTCTTCATCCTGTCTTTATTGGCAGAGAACTGTATCTTCCTGGTTACCCTTTCCATCCTTCAAAAGGGAAGATGATTGATGAGTCACTCACTGATTTTCTGATCTGTTGCATGAGGGATGTGCCCTCTTGAGTCTGCTGCTGGTATGGAGGGTACCTGTGTTTATGGTAGGGAGCTGGGGTGCCTTTACCTCATCTAGAATGACCAGAGGCCTTCCTCACTGACTTGGACAGGGTCTTTTCCTCTCTTAACTGGTGAGAGAAGGTAATTGTCTTTCCTGAAAAGAGAGTTAATTACAGTAAGGTTGTCCATTGATGCATATTGGACCCAATCAAGATTCTGAAATAGATTTTTGCTGCTTATCTCAGTCTTTGAGATACGTTATCCAGTGTGAAGGAACTTGATTTTTGTTCTCCTATGTAATTGCCTGTGGGGGGAAAAATCTGCTTTATTTATGATGGGGACCTCAACTTTAGTGTTTCTTCTTTAAAGAATACCTGTTCTTCAGGAGATACATTTAAACTGTGGCTGCTAGAAACTGGAAGGAGAGTTTAGTCAGGGATGTCTTTGTTTTTTCCCTGTTTTCTGTTTGCTGCTAGGCAGTGGCTGAGGCAGTTTACTCAGCTGCAGGGAACTTTTGGTCTGATTAAGGATTATTACTGTTGTGCACCAAGAATTGTTGGCTCATTAGGATGATAAATGTGCTGACTAGCTGGTCAGCTTTCCTGTTATTCATAGTCATCAGTGAGCTTTATTGCAAACTGATTGAGGTTTCTTTCATTCCCTGTCTCTCTCTTCAGCTTTCCCTAGAGGTAGCTGGCAAAGCATTTGCTAAACCAGCACTGGCAGCGATTTGCAAGGCAGTCTGGCTGGCTCTGTGTGAGGCGTAGGTGTGTATCAAAATGTTTCTTCTGTCTCTGAAGGTTTGCGCTTCCTCAGAGATTTGTAAGCAGCTTCTGGGGTCTATTTCTTAGTGTGTTGCCATCTAGGAAAGACCTTCAGACAGATTAAAGAAAAATTCATACCTTTGACCAGTTGGTCAATAGACTGTACTGCTCTGTTACTGAATTCAGTGCCTACCAAAGCCTGCTTCCATTGCAATCTCTTGTGGAGATCTGATGGAGATGTGAGGTCTTACAGGATCTATAGCGGCATGCATTTCTTGAATCCCTACAAAGGTACCTGAGAGTATGCTTGCTATTTAGACTTCATTCTGTATACAGCTTCCTTGGACATCCTCTTAGTATGCAGCTATTTATTCCCCTGGCAATAGCATGACTGTTATAGACAAATGTTGTTCCATACTTGCAGGGCAAATGCTCATTTACTTTCCTATCCTATCCAGGTCAAAGATACAGCTTTGAAGTGGAAGGGAGTATTTTTGGCAACTGGTACGATTGCTGATGTCCAGAGAAGCATCTGCACATCAGGCTGATGGACCTTGGGTCAATATGAGAGAACCTGAGTTCCCCTTAGGAGGCGTTGGGGGATAACTGGTTCTGGTGGTACTAAGCAAGGTGCTACAGAGTTTCAGCTTGGGAAACAAAGGAAAGCAAACTCCTACTCTGCCAGAAAGCAGTCAGACTTGAAACTCATGCAAGAAATTGCAGATGCTTGAAAGATGAACTTGGAGCAGCCTGGTGGCCTGAGCTATTGCATTTTGCTAGATAACCAGATTGGCTGTGTGCTGTCCTGAGTTACCATCTTCTAAGCCTATAGATTCTGAAACAGGCCTCTTTGCATCAGGTACCAACAGACAGCTCCTGACCTCCTCTGAAGCCAGACAGTATCCACTGTTGCCTTAGTGTTCTCACAGCTGGGTCAAGGAAGGTGATGTGGCTTTTCCTCCAATCTGTTACTCAGTATAGCCAATAGCAAGACATGATGTGCAGCTCTGATCCTGCTTATTCTAGTGTGGTGGCTTTGGTACAGTGGCTTCCTTTTGATTCGTATTCCTTCTTCTGTGTGATAGCTTGATGTCTGGGACCTTTATGCTATTCTAATCTTTGCATCTTCTGTCTCCCATTGCTTCCTGTTGCAAGGCTGCTGAAGTGGAACCATCTTTAGCAAGTTATGGAGCATCCTGTCTGAGCTCAAGTGACTGCATCATGGACAGATGAAAAATGATTGAGCTTTGAGTCATCTGGCATATGTGTGCACACACAAAATTTGAATGTAATACAAGGGGACATTGTAGAATTGTTAGCAATAACTTATTTTCTATGCTTGCCATTTGTACCTGTTGGTGTTACTGGTGGCTCTTGTCATGAGTATCGTG